AGTACACATTGAATACCATAACAGCAGTGGAGCGAGTTGCTCTAGGATGATTTATCTACTCCAGTTTCTTTTATTGAGAGAGCTGTCTACCAGATTTTGGTTAAACACTGAGATAAGCGAATTCATGTGGACTACGTGAATGTATAAATCCATCCTGAGTCCACTGTAATTTGTCCTTCTTCATCTTCCAAACGGTTAAATGTTGTAACCAATGGTAATGCTGGACTCAATTCATCTTTAGCCTGGCTATATATTTTTTTTTGGCTATTTTCCTAGTACAATAATTATATTATTTCGCTGTTTCCTTGAGTCTAATGGAAAACTTTAAAACTTGGCGATGCCACCGTTTGTGACTTGTTAGGCCCTTAACAGTAATTTCGTCCATTCGTATTGAATTGGTTATAACATGATAAGAACCTTCGCTCAGCTACACAACAGGCAAGAGGACATCCATAGACATGCCAAAATCCTCTCCTTCTTCAGTTCACTTCACTGCTGCAAGAAGCACTGCACATGTGCGAACACTCCCATCAATCACCAATCATGTTACAATACGGTGACACCGTTGACATGCTATCAAATAGGTGAGAAGAACTGGAGCAGCACATTGGCAAGATACGATAAGCTTATTTTTGGCATACATCATGGGTATATACCAAATGTGAATGGAAGAAATGCAGGTAACGGACTTTGATCTTCAAAGGTGAAGCCGCAGTTGGTGTCGGCTAAGAGGCGTGTGTATGCTGAACAGAGCCAGACATCAGTTTATGGTCAACTGTGTTCATGATTTACTGATTTACACCATTTGAAATAACTGCCTAGAAGTCGATTTACTGACTCACTTTTCTGTGTGCCATCGGTAGAGTCCCGGCTAGAAGTGTATTCTCCACCCCTCTTAATGTTACAAGTAGCTGTAAGAAGCTAATAAATAACCTCCTCATGGAGTGCTTTCTCACGCAGTTCATTCACACAAGCGTATCTTCGTATTCATGTACAAACGACTAGCACGTCTGTCTCTTCTCCTGCTGCGAGAGAGACTGCTTGGAGTACCACCACTCGAGCCTGTGACACGAGCGGATATATGCAGTCATTCAGTCAGTCGTTAGCACTGTGCTGTAAAGTCAGTCACGGTTAATGCTCCAGCTCAATCTCAGGGCATACAAACACCAAAAAGAAGAGAAAAATGGATAAGCAATGACGTGACAGTTCCTCTTTTGCAAGTCCCCTCCGCATTCCTCGTGCATGTGATCAGCGCGATCACCTCAGTGACTGGAGGTCACCTAACCTGTGTTTGCCCATTTGAGCAACCTTGCCGTGGGTTCAAAGAACCTCCTTTTCTCCAGAAAGTGGAGTAAATAAAATACACAATAATAAACCTCTTTTTTTTCCCTTGTCTTTCCTTCTAGACGCAACAGAAAGAATTGAATCTCTTACTTGCGCTCTAACTCATCTTCAACCTTCTACTGATGAATTCAGTTTATTGAAGACTCTTTGTCTTTTTAGCCTAGGATCCGAATCGGGTAAGTATAATTTTCACTTTTCTTCTCTTTAATTTACTTATTTGTTAAGAATTGCTTGTCTACTTTTAACTTTTAGCAAATCAAGCCGAATTTGAGCACCTTTCGTCTTTATGTGATCTTCTCCATCAAAATCTTTCAGTCTACATCCAAGCCTGCTTTCCAACTAGTTCGGAACAGAGGGAGGGGCTTCTACGATGCATAACGGCAATCAAAAGTATTCCAGATGGAATGTCTTGTCCGATTCGCGGGGCTTTCTTGAAGGTATTTGGCTGCTCAATGGAAAACATTGACCGTATGATCGAACGAATGACCTTCGCTGCTGTCGAAGCGGCCATTGAAGCCGCAGTGAAGCCTCCCTAATCCCTAGTGAGCAAATCTTTTATTCACAACAACAGAATACCGCTACATGCGTATGCATAGGAGATACGTTCTGTTTTGCTAAATTATAAAAAATGAGATATTTTTTTTTAAATTTGCGTCAGAATTTGTTTAAAGCCCATCAAGTTTCAGGGTGCACAATCTCTATGTAGTAAACAGGATAGTGTTGCATTTGCTGCATAATGTGGTCAAAAATAACCGTCCTTTCAAGTTCTGCTACCATTCTGATGGAACCGAAACTTTTCTACACCTTTAGCCTTGCTGATTTCCTTGAATAGTTGCTAAAACACTGGAAAGACATCTTCTTTAAGCCTGCAAATCCTCATCAAAAAAGGAATACCAAAGTAGCGGCGACTTTAAGGAAGCCTTTAGTTTCAAGTTCAGTTCATTAACTGCGCATAAAAGAAAATCAGTTGCCATAAAGTCCAAATTATCAACGATTTGCGCCATTTTTGGAGAAATTTGCACTCTATCTACTCATGTTTCTTTTGAGCAAATACTATGAGAAAAACCGGCTAGCATGATTGACACTCGTTGTGAAATATTGCTCCCTTCAAATGAATTTCACCTCGATACAGTTCCTCTTACCGAGGACTCGATATTTGGGAAGCCCCACGAGACCCAAAGCATGTGCTGCTACTGATGCAAATAAGTAGCATTCACCCCAGTCGAAAAATTTATGTCATCATCGTTATTCGTCTTGCGGCTGATAACGTTTAAAAAAACCACAGCTGAGTAGACCTTGATGATAATACTTACAAGAGGACTACGCGGTTTTAAATGTCATTTTGATATCATATACATTTCAATTTAAAGGAATCAAATAAGAAGTAGTGATATTTTTCCCTTCAAACGTAAAAATTGGAAGTTTAATTGGATTTCACTGACTTGACCTTTGTTCACAATGTAATGTTTTTCTTTAAAGGCCAGTACGGTTTATTCTGACTTGTTATTGCACTAAACTTTGTAAATTTTTGCAGCTCTAGTTAACCAATCAAAATGATATCTTGAAAATTGCACACCATGAAAATACATTTCTAAAAGATAGTTTAAAATTTGCAGTTATGCCAAAAGGAATGGGATAAAAGCTCTCTCATTGCCAAGGGGGGGTAAAAGGGGCTGGATGCTGTGACCCTCAAACCGTTTCAGGTTCGTGCCGTCGTATTTTCCATACACGCGATTAACAGCAAGCAATAATTGCAGGAAAAAATTTCCATAAAAGTTTTTATTTTTATTCCTTGCCGTTTGAAAAAATTTTGACTAGTACTAA